GGTATGAATTGCCCATTGTTAAATTATGATAATATATTTTGCCATGGATGGATTAAATAAAACAAACTATATGCCCAAGTAAGTCATTGAGGGACAGAGTATAGTTGGCATGCCATAAAGTATAGCAGCTGTAGGTTTATAATACACTTCGGTGTATATGGTGGGCACGACCTTATGTGTAATACACTTTGGTGTATATGGTGGGCACGACCTTATGTGTAGCACTACTATGCAAATATTACTCGAATATCCAGGGTCCTCAAGGATAATGGGCTATTGTCTATGGTTATATAGATTATTGGTTAATAAATGGTAAGTATGAAATTAAGCTTACGAGCTTATGGAATAAATGGCAAGTATATTAGTAAGAAATTTTATACTTAGTTATATTATTTTGATCATGGTAAAATTTTGGATATGTTGGTACCATGATTTTATGTCATTTGATTTTGACATTGATATTCATGCATGAATTGTATTGCACTATTTATTGTTTTAAATTGCCTCACTAAGTATATACTTAGCGTGTGATGATTTTCACGCGTAGGTAAAAAGCCAGTAGTGGAATAAAGATTTCAAATTGACATCAAGCATCGAGGAGTACATTTCAATATCAGTAAGACATCCTATGATGTAATGTTGACTTTATTAGTGGCATGTACTTATTAATGTTTTATTTGTTTTGTTGAAAAAATTTGGAAACAAAATGGAAATTTTATAGTGATGAAAGGTTAAGTTTTTATGAGTTATATATAAATATATATATATATATTGTTGAAATTACTGTAGCAGTTACTGTAGAAGTGAATAGTGATGAACAATAATGACGTTAACAATTTTCAGAATGCTACAGGGGTATCGACACCCTGTTACAGTGTATCGATACCCTCACTATTCACTGTTCACGATACTATTCATAAATAAAAAAAATCTTTTGAATTAAATTTGTTATAACGAAACATAATTCATATGATATGATATTTTTATAATATCAGTAACCATTTTAAGAAAATAAAGTTTAAATCGCTTTTGAATTAGAAAATGGTTTTAGAAATTCGGGTGACATCTATAATCTGTATAGGTATAATTGTACGGGTTATGGGTGTTACAGTTTGACTTAAAGATGGATTGTTTTTTGGGCTTAGTAAATTTGAGGACGAAATTTCTTCTAAGGAGATGAGAGTTGTAACACCCCTAATTTCAGGCTAGTAGTTTTGGGTTTACTTGAGAGGTAAATGGACCCCGTGAATTTCATGTTTTAAGTCGTTGGACTGAGTTAGGCTTAATTGGGTTGGTTTTAGGCCTAAATAGCCATAAAGAGAGGGTTTTTGGAATAATAGAAAGTTGGGAAAGGACCAAAAGAATAAATTCCCTATTTTGTAAAGTTGAGGGTTTTTATTACTCATTTAATCTTTTTTCCCTTCATTTTCATCCTCCACAGTTCCTCTTTCTTCATATTCTCTAGATAGCCATAACAAGGTAATTCTTAAGCCTTTTTCATACTTCATTTCCGTCCTTATTACCCTTCATCAACATCGTTTTGAATATTCAAGCTTTGGGTTTTTATTTTTGTAAAAAAAAGGGGGTTTTTATCATCCAAACCTAAAGGAAAATATTTACTAGCTAAAGAAGCTTCATTTGGGGATTTAACATCAAGGTAGTATATTTATAATCATTTGGAGTATTAAGCTTGCATAAAGTTCAAGAATTTGCTAAGATTTGTGTAGTTGAGTATATTAGGGTTAAAACTTGATTTTCAAGATTAAAGACGTTTAGGTGTTAAGAAAATGTTTTTATGACACCCAAAGACCCTAGTGAACTCTCAAAGACTTTAGTACACAATTTAAAATCAAATAATGACCTTTAGAGTGATTTTTAGGTTTTTTTAGCCTAAAATAACTATTTTAGGGTTTGAGTATCAATACTGTAATGAACAATATTGATATTGGATAAATTAGGGCAAAAATTATGATTTTAGGCAGAGAGTATCGATCCTGCCAGGGAGAGTATCAATACTGTCCCTACAGTATCAATACTCAGGGTGACAGTATCGATGCTGGCTTATTTTTCATAAACATAATGCATTTTTGGTATCGATACTTATGTGGGTATCGATACTTGACCCTAGGGTATCGATATTGCAAGTAGAGTATCGATACTACTCACTTTGGATGTATAGTTTTGACCCGTTTAAGGCCGTAAGAGCTGAGTACGATCCGTAATAGTAAGACTTAGTCCGTGAGGAACATAATTGACCAATCATACCTAGAAATACTCATAGAAGTGGGTTACAACAAAAAGTAACCATTTTAAGCATACTGTGTCGAAATATCTTCAGTCAATGACGCATAGAAATTGTTGAGGACAAGAACGTTGTAGAAGATATACCGACAAGTGGTACAATAAGTAAGTCAGATTTAGTAATAGTATAAAGCATGGGCTTCGAGAATGTCAGTGAACCCAGGGAATGTAAGCAGTCCTTTCAATTTAAGGGGTATTGAAGGGAAACACGATAAGAACAACTAGAGTCTCACTACTTAGAAATGAACCCGATTCAAGTATTGGGCTAGCTAGTATTTCAAACAGTCAACAACAAACTGACTAGTCATCATAGAATCATGAAACACGTAGAGACTTCTCTTGAGTCCTAGTGACTAAAGCGTCCTTAAGTAACAAACGACCATAATAAAGTAGCTTAATAAATAACAACTGTGACAGACTAATAAGCCTTCACATAACATTCTAGATGAGAGAATGAGCGAGATAACAAATAGTGAGAAGATAACCTTACTTTAGTGAATCCCGTTGTGCTAGGGTATTGCCAGGTTAGCTTAGTTTCCCTAGTAGGGCATTGTTAGTGCACGAGGCACTTCAGGGGCTAACTAGGGCACGAGGGCTAAACACTCGCTAGGAGCGGGTGAGTGATGTTAGTGTTGTTTTGCGTTTGGGATTTAGACATGTATGTAGAGTTGCATCAGTATAGTACAACAGATATCTTAAAGCTTGACTTGAAGGCTATGTGAGGCCGAGCTAATGCTTTTAGTTGAGCGAGAATTGTAGCGATGCTATGTGACACCGAGTTCCCCCTTAATGATCTACCTAATGGCTATGTGAGGACTAGGAGATCATTCAACAGCTTTGTGAGAATTGCATGATGCTAGGTGACACTAGGGTTCCCTCAGTAACTAGTGTCTGATGGCTATGTGAGACTAGATACTAGTCAGGGTGCATTTAGATAATGCACATTATGGTCAGGTTTGCATTTAGATATTGCATATTATGGTCAGGTTTGCATTCAAAATAATGCACATTATGGTCAGGTTGTATTCAGATAATGCGCAAGAGTATCCGTGTCGTATTTAGATAATGCATAGCAGTTGCAATCATTAGGGTTAGAAACCCTTTAGAGATGTACTCATGGCGAGGCCCTTAGTAAAGGATTAAGGGAAGCGTGAGACCCCTACTTCAGCGATAGAACAGTAAAGCCTTGAGTATATAGCACTTGATCTAAATCATGCATGTACCTACTACTTAGTACCATATCTTCAGCATGCTTGTGCTTATGAAATTCTTATGTTGTTATAGATTAGCGATTATATTGATGTGCTTTATAAGCTCAACCTTCAAATGTTTTCTGTTGGCAGGTTTCTAGTGTGGGCCGTTCGTGGAGCACCATCATAGAAAGACTTTCAGCATCTCTTTCAGAGTATTGTATTGTAGCTTTAGTGGGCATGTGTATTCATAGAACTTTACTTATGATATTTGAGTTATAAACCTCAAAATATATTAATTTGTTTTAAATTATGTGTCTTAGAGCTTCGTTTTATAAAATGTTTTTATAACAATTATTTATGTTTTATTTTTGATACCATTCAACATGTTTTAAAATAAAGCGAACCAGGTTTTGAAAATCAGGAGTTGTCTCGGTAGCCTAATGTGGCACTTTAGGCCCATTCGGGTTTAGGGTGTTACACGAAAAATATATATCCCCCACCTGAACTCGACTCGAAAGTTATATATCCGCCACCTGATCCGGCTTGATCCAAAAAATATATATCCTCAACCCAATTCTGATTCAACATAATTTTTTAGATTATAAATCTGACCAGATTCGATATAAAATAAGGACTTAATTGAAAAAATAATAAATAGAGGGGCTATTATAACAATTATCCATAAATGTATTTAAAGAAATTATATTATTACCCCCTATTCGGGTCGGATCAGAGTTTTTTCACCCTTCACTAGAACCCGACCTGACCCGATATTACTCCCTTAAAAAAATCCGATCTGATCCGGCCCGAACAATTTTTTTTAAAATCTGACCCTATCAGATTGGGTCAAGTTATAATTCATTGATTTCAGATTAAATTATCATCTCTAATCATAATCAAACATGTTTAATTTTCTTTTAAAAACTAGAATAGGTACCTGGTTGTATAAAAAAAATAAAAGTTCGATGCACGTTATACATAAAATGCCAAAATTACGTATAGAAAGTTAAAATTAGCCCATTTAAATATATTTATATTTTTAAGTTTTTATAAAAAAAATAAAATAATTGATACCATCTTTAACGAAAAGATATAATAGTTGATATTAACTTAACAAGTTTAATATTTATTATTGGTTGATCCAATTTAATAAAACAAATATTAAAAAAATTTAAAAAAAAAACTAAAAGGTCAAAATAGTTTTTTAATAAATTTGAAGAAAAAGTATTATTAAACTTAATTCAAATTAATCTAAATTAAATTCGAAGACAACCTAAATTCTTAAATTGTTAGAATCCAAACTAATTTAAATACATAATGATTGGAATTCAAAATAATTTGAATAAAAAAATAACTCCACACTAATTAATCTCGAAATAGAAAAAAAGAGAATTTTAAAATCCATAGGTTGATCTCATCTAAAACTAATTCGAGTTATTCTGTTGCCAAGTGTAGTATCAGATCACGGAAGAAACGACACCGTTGAGTGTTGGCTTCTCTCTCACTAGCCTTTTACCGTTTTTCAAGTAAAGAGAAGTGCTCAGGCACTCAAACGTAACTGGCAAAAAGTTACTGCTACATCGCGCAGCATCGGAATCCGCCATTGTTTTAACTACCTTACAATTGTTTCCATAAATTCCCCTATTCTGTCGCCGGAATCTTCAAAAAAGACAACTTGATCCGACGTCGCCTTAAAGTGATTCAATCAAAAGAAAAGCTTCGCATCAATCATGCTCCAAATTGGAGAAGAAACCCCTTCGAGGTACGGTCATTAAACTGAGGGCTTTGTTTTAGTTCTTCCGTGATTTTGCTCTCGGGTGACGATGTGTAAGTTTTTTTGGTAGGTTTGAGTTACTGAGAGTTGCAAGGAAGCACTCGAATTTATTGGGGAAAACACATTTTAGTTATTTTTCCGAATATTAGCTTCATGTTGTGTCTTTGTTTCCTCCTTTCCTCCTCCGTGAACAAACTTTTCTGTCTTTAAATCTGAATTTGGAAGCTTAAGAAAGAAAAGAGATACTATTTATTTGCTGCTTAAGTTTTTTTTTGAGGGTTCATTGTGTAAGATTATGATTTGATTTGATTTTAACCCTAAGTTATTTTCCCCCTTTTCCAGTCACAGTGTCCTAAAAATCATCAAGCGGGACAAGACACGCCATTTTCTGCTATCTATAAGGTAATTCCTGCTTCAATGGTTCTAATGATGTCAGTTATGTTTAGGAGGACATTTACATCTTTAACTTTTTAGAATTGTTTTTATTTTTTACTTCAGATCTGTCATCATGAAGGAAAAAAATACACCAAAATGCTGTTGTTAAGTGCAGAAATAAACATGTAACTATTGCTTCCAACATGCTGTATGAATTGCTGAATTCATCCTCCTTGTACCCTGATAATTTTTGTAATTTTTATTATATAACCAGTTATTTTTATGTTAAACCAAATGCTGTTACCTGAAAGGATTGTTTAATGTCCTTGCTGACACTGGATGCTGCATTATTTAATTGTCAATCTTTCATTCTTCGGTCATGCAGGTTGTGAAGACTTTTTATGCATCTCCCAGTCGAGTAAATTTTCATTTGGGCTCAAAAAACACAAGCCTTCCTATTTCCAGGAAACTATGGTGACAATGAGTTTTTCTTCAATTTTCTGACATGTTCACTAATATGTATACAGGAAGTTGAGACAACACCTTCCTATCCAGACATCTGTTTTGCAATAGATGATTTTGACTCTACTTTTGATGCAGTGGTAAATGCTTTCATTTTCTTTGTAAAGTTACCAATTGGTGTTGTTTATGATCATATTGTTGCATAAATGCACATCATAATATTATATTTTTTCAAATTAATTTGATTATGATGAAATTTGCAGTTTAAGAAAACTATTGCACATTTTGCCAAAGAGTAAGATTCAAGTGGTATGTGGCTTTCAACTTGGCTAGTATTACTGCCTTCCTCTTGTAACTTATTTTAAAAGCACTGGGCTAATGAGAAGTTGGAACTTGCTATTTGTGAAGGATGTATAAGGACCAAAGCCACTTCTTTTATTGTGGATGTGAATCTTTTCTCATTTATACTGTTGTCCTGTTCTTCTTTATTATTTATATAAAAAAATGCTGGATTTCATGAAAAGCAGATCTTTTTGTTAATTGTAGGACTTCCAATATATATCTGACATTTTTATCTTCATGCAGGTCTTGACCGATACGGATCATTGCTATAGTGTGCTTCTTAATGCACTTGATGGGGCAGCATTTCCTAGTGAAAAGGGTACAAATGATAACCCTTCCAGAAACAAATCACCATTAAGAGTAGATACAAATTCTGTGAAGACGAAAAATAGTAAGGATTGGATCCTTTCACACCTTTGTGATAATTTATGTGTATTGGTTCCATGATCAACCAGAACCTTCACTTTTGAAGGAGGTAATTAGAACTTCTTTGTTTTTTATGTTGCTTTAAGATTGTCAAGTGTACTAAATTTTTCTTGGTTGAAAAAATATTGCAGAACATGCCTAAATGATTTTGTTCTTTGAGATGTCTATTTTCCTTGAATAACTTATAAATATTCCCTTCCTTATTTCTCAGAATAGTGAATTTTTTATTTTTCTTTTGCCTGTAATGGATGTTACTTGTAGTCAAGACACCAATATATAGAATGCCTTCTGAATTCTTATAATTCTTTTTGCTGTGAACAATGGATTGATCAGTAAGGCGCTAGTGGCGTGGCATAGTTGACTAGGACTTAAGTGGGTTGTCCTTGGATTTCTAACTTCTAACAATGATGCATTTCACTGAGAAAGAGTATTTACATTTTTCCTGTGAACATTCGAAGTATATTAACATAAACGATGAAAGTGGTTTATAATTATTTTTCCTAATGTTTGTTGCATTTTAGTGATGCCAACTAGGAATATTTTATCATCATGAACAAGTTTTGTAGATGTAAATAACATTTTGTTAGCATCGAACGAACTGATACCATTGATTCTGTAAGCTGGTTAGGAATTATGTAGGTGCAACAGTACTTGGCTGGAATATCAGTTTGCTGACCACTTGACATGCTGCTAATTGTTATTGCAGCTCACACTTTTTTCTGCATTTGTCAGCTTTCAAATGGTTCGGGATGCATATGATGGTACGCTATGGAATTAGTCTTCCTAACAATTGCCTTCGGTTTTTTGTTCATTCAGAATTCTGCAAAAATCTAGGGCATCGTTTAATAAATATTTTTCTTCTTTGTGTTTATGAAAATGTGACGAGGGAATTGATTTATATGTGGAACACACAAGAGTGGCTTATTTGGCATTGGATTCTGTTCTTTGGATCAAGCAACAACTAACTTACCTTTTAGTAATCTTGCAATGGGTTTGAACCCCTGTAGGTTCCTTTTGATCAACATTTGTAGAGAAACATGTGCAAAAAATATGTAAACTTCCAGTTCATTTCATGTTGAGTAAGCTTGGTCTAGTTTAAAGGGTGCTAGAAATGTAGACTGCTTAAATTATGTTCTGAACAGCCTATCCTTGGCGTATATTTTATTCTTAATGTGTTCTTCATGCTTATTTAGTACTCATTTCATATCATTTGCCTTTCACAGCTGGGAGCTCCGGATTTGGAAGTCTGCTGTCAATTCGTTATTCGTCTGGCAAGAAAGATAGACTTTACATGAAAGGTCCTGGAGAACATGGGGAAGTTGAAGTGGTTGTTTATGGTGTCGTGGGTCAGTAATTGTAACACCCTTAATCCATACTCGACCCGGATACGAATCCGAGGTGTCATATTGACTTTTCAAATAATATTTTATTAACAAATAAGTAAAATTTAAGCTTTTATTCATAATAAAATAAATGAAACCCTTTAATTTAAAGTAAAGTATTTAACAAGACCCACATTCATACATAACTAAAGTCTTTAATAATTTACATAAATACAAAAATTATGAGTTTACAAAAGTAGATCAGAACATTTTAAATTAAATGTATAGTATATGCCAGCCAACAATTTACAATTTACAAAAACATATATTTAATTTGTCTTGAATTTATCTTCAAGAGAGTATGCTATCCACAACAAATTTCAACCTTCAGTTTTCTTCAAACCTACGCGTGAGGAAATCACACGCTAAGTCTATGACTTAGTGAGGTAATTACGAGCAATTAATGTTATATAATCAAAATCTTTATTTATTTCATAGATGTATTTCATAAGGAATTCAAAATATTTTTTCATAACAAGAATGTATACTTTCATACATTATTCGTTTTATATAACTTTGTTTTCAATGCCTAACGTATATTATTGAGAACTATAAGTATTTGAGTACATTGAGGTTGTGCACTAATGCTGTCACCACGGCTCACATAATTTGCACCGAAGTACCACATAATTATCCCGAAAGACCACATAGGTTTGTCCCAAATGACAACATAATTTTGTCCCGAATGACCATATAGAACCCTCAACTCTTGGCATGCCAACTATACCTCTAATCCTCATACATATACCTTGGGTTTTTAACCACATAATTATTTGTCATTCATTACTCGAAGTATCTCTTTTCACATTGAATGTTTTCGGATACACGTGTTTATAGGTCACATTTTTATAATCATATACACATAATCATCAACATAGCTTACATAATATAAATTGAATAAAACATTGCAAAAATATAACATAAAAGAAATTGGAAGGTTTTCGACCGAAAACACTGAGGTTGGCTTATCGTAAGCCTTTCTCAATTGTAATGCAAAACCAAGAAGTTGCATTCACCTTTGCCTCACTGAAGTCCTAAACGAAGTCCTTAACGTTTTTTATCGATAATCTATAACATTGAAGTGTTTAGAATTTGACTGATCAATATCTACACAAGAACAATCGAAAATGAATATCGAAATTTGAATCGTTATAACAAATCATAATAACTTAAGCTAAAAAAACACTTAATTTATCATTTCATGTTCAATAGTATCGGTACTTCCACTACAATACCTATACTTCCCTTCTATGGTATCGATACTCCCTTTTGGTACTGATACCATTTCGACATTCTGGAATTTCAACTTGAAAAATGGTATCGATGCCTTACTCTTGGCATCGATACTCCCCTTTCAGTATCGATACCTTCTTCAATCAATACCGATATTGATCCTTGAATTCCAATTGATTTAGCCTTGAAGTATTAGTACTGTTCTTTCAGTACCGATACCCTTGCCCAGAATTTACCATTTCCATTCCGAAAAATTCAACCAAAACTTACCTAAATATCCTAATTTTATCCCCCTTTAGGCCTTTAAACTCAACTTCATACAGTACAACTAACTTTTTCTCCATTTACTACTCCTAAACATACAAATTTCTCACTTGAACACTTATATCCCAAAAGCATACCATAATTTCATACATGCTATTAATCCATTCTAAACTTTCTATCTCCTTTATTATACCATTGACAAGTCAAAGTTAGCCATAAAACTTCAAAAACTACACCACATCAAAAATTCATTTCAAAACCCATTTTACAAATTCATTTCCAAATCACTCCTCTTGTTGTTTTAATCCCTTAAAGCTTTCCTTAAGCTTATATAACACCTAAGCTTTCAACATCAACCCAAAAATTTCAATAAATCATCAACTAAAACATACTCACCTTTGAAAGTTAGGTGTTTTGAACCCAAAAAGGAGTAGTTCACCCCCAAGAATGACGTTTTGGTGGGAATCAAATTTTTGATCTTGTTAAAAGCTATAAGGTGTTAAGGACAGTAAAATTCGGTAAATCGAATCGAATAGAAATTTGAGAAAATTTGAAAGATATTAAATTAAGCTTAGAGATATTATTTCCACATTTTAAATTGATGGAAAATAATATGGAACATTGGATTTGAGAATTAATTTCCATGTTCATTTTTGGACCGTTGGATGAAAATGGCAAGATTAAAATTTTAGGAAAAGTACAAGGGTAAAGTTGTAAAGGGTAAAATAATTTGTTCATCATTGACTTTGGAAGATGACAATTGTTATGTATCAAGGTATGAATGTAATTATCAAGTTTCATTAATGGTAAAATTGTCATTTCCCATTAAATGAATTTTAAATTCATTTAGGCTTTATGAACATGTTAGGGTCCTATGAATTGATGATGAATTTGTAATTTTATGAAAGTTAGAGGACCTATTCAGTAATTATGGAAAATCATGGGATCAATGTGTAATTGTTTAATAGTTGATGGACTATGCTGGACATTAATGTTAGAGTGTTGAAATTGATGTTAGAATGTGAAATTGGGCCATTTTGGAAAGTTGAGGATCAAATCACAAATATGAAAAAATTGGGAACTAAAGTGAAAAAATTGGGAACTAAAGTGAAAATGTTATGTGAATTTTGGATAAATATGGATAAAAAGGAATTTGAATGGTCAACTTGATTTGTTAAAATCAACATTCATGTTGTGACATGAAATTAGTATTGAATGAGCATCGAACGATTTTTAGAAATTTATTTTCTATTGCGTGCCTATGTTAGTAAGATTCTAACATGTGGTTGAATTGCATATGTTTTGTAAATGATGCTAATTTAGTTTACGTACTTCAAATTAAGATCAAACGATATTAAAGCTAAGGAGAAACTTAAGGATGAAATATGAATTTCTATGGAAGTTTGCAAACTAAGGCCACCAGGTGAGTGCATATTAATTTGTGTTTATGTTATCCAACAAACATTGGCTTACAATGAGCCAATGAAGGAGTTGCTATGGTAAGAAGTGAATCCTACTATTGTGATTCATGCAAATATGTGCATTTGGTGAGCTAATAGAATTAGTGAATAAATTAAAAATTTAAATTGGTGAAACTGCCTAAATTTGTGACCTGAACAGTAAGTTTAGAGAATCACCAAAAATTGTACAGAAGTGATTAGAGAATGATCTCTACACCGTTGGATTTTTATATTAGTCTAGTTTTGTTTGAAATAAACTCCTACTGATTTTGAGGAGTATACAAAAAGATGAATTTTTAATCGAGGATAGGTCAGAAAACAAGGTAGCATATTCTGCTCGAAACAACTTCTTTAATTCAAATTTGAAAATTCCCTATAAATTTTACAAATTGAACTATAAGACATTCCTTATACGGTTAGATTCATATTTCAATATATTTTCCATTAGTACAAATGGAATAATTTTTAAGTGTGTATATTAATACATAATAATATTTCTTTAAAGGTAGTGCAAACTGCCAGAATATGAAATTGTGAAGAATGGACCGAATCGAAAGCAAAGGATCAAGTTAAAGCTTAACGAGGCTTATATTTTGACTTATATATAAAGTGTCAAAGTAGGTGCAATGCATGCATGACAATATACATGGATGTTTTATACATCATTATGAAGACTTGCGATGAGTCAACCTTATTTATATTGGCATGATATTTATGTCATTTATCATATATATATTTGACATATTCTAAATATGTCAAAGGTTGAATATAAAATGCATTGATCACGGGTTATTATTTATGATGTTATCATTAATATATATGATGTATATTACTAATGTTATTTCGGGTATGAACTGCCCAATGTTAAATTATATTAATATACTTTGTCATGGAAGGAATAAAAATAGACTATATGCCCAAGTAAGTCATTGAGGGACATGATATAGCTCGTATGCCATAGAGTCTAGTAGTAGGGTTGCATATCCAGATTAGCACTAGAGTGTATACCCAAGGCACGTAGTACAGGTAGTGGGCACGACCTTATGTGTCATAGCACTAGAGTGTATACCCAAGACACTTAGTATAGGTGGTGGGCATGGCCTTATCTGTCTTATCACTATAGTGTATACCCAAGTCACTTAGTGCAGGTGGTGGACACGACCTTATGTGTCATAGCTCTATGATGCAAGTATTTGACTCAAATACCCAGGGTTCTCATAGGTTTATATTTGGGCTATGGTCTATTGGTTAATAAGTGATAAACATGTGAATAAGCTTATGAGCTTTTGTAAAGAATGAAAAGTATATTGGTAAGAATTTTATGTATGGTTTATGTAGATACGTCATTTCGTCCATAACTTGTTATTATATTATATAATGTATTTATATTGTAAATTATATTATATAATATATGTGTTTATATTTATTAATTATTTCATTGCATTTCACAGGTCCAATATTGCATGTGGCCCAAAGCCATTACAAGCAAATAAATCCAGCTGACCCATTACACCCAACAGGAGCCCAACTAGCCCAACCCGGTTCAAGACCCAAAATCAGGTTCATGACCTGAACCAGCCAGCTAGGGTTCAATAACCCTAGCCTCTTTTCCACTTGCGCAACTTCACTCCAACCGTCAGATCCAGGGGTGATCCAAGGGCCCGTATCAAAGATGAAACTAAGGTTTTTAACACTTAGTTACTTCCAGCCGTTTCTCACCCGTCTCAATAGCGCCGCACGACACATCATTGAAGACTCCACGCCTCACGCCTCGTCGATTTTCCCGGTGGTTCCCTCGGCAATAACAAACAACCACATCAATAAACAGATCGAAAAGTCTAGGTTCATTAGGACTCTAAGGAGCTAAAGATAGTATATTGTTTATTATAAATAACACATGTAACACACAAATCGGGGGGGTTTTGATACGATTCACAGAGGGTTTACACAAGTTTACACTAGGTTACACTAGCAAATAGAGAGAAACAAACCCAAAAAGCAGTTGTATCATTTCGAAACGCAACGAAATAAAAGGTACAATTTTTATTTTACC